CTTTTCGGAAATGCGGCCTTCTGCTGCCTTCAACGCACCTAAAGGCTGGCCTTGCCTGTGCCGGACTGACAGCAGCACACGAGAGGGGCATTCCGGGTGCCCACCGGCCAAGCGACCACATCAGACCGAGGACGGCCATCTTTCTCCCTTCGCCGCCTGGATTTGTTTTCTCCCTCTTCAGCAACTGAACGCTCTTTCTGAGATTTTTGCTCTGCCCCCAAGCCCCACCGCGCAGGTTGCTTATCACGTGGTTTTTTCCCAGTTTGTATGTGACTGCCGAGAAACTGCCAAGTAAACGTGTGCCCGCGTACGTGTGTTGAGAGGAATGCCTGCGCCTCAGGAAACGAAGCAGCGGCTTGCCCTGGCCGGTTTTCCTCCTCTCAGTCCACCGGTGACCCTCTCTGGGTATCACAACCTCCCCACCTCTCTGCCCCCCAGCCTTCTCCTCGCCGTTTTCCCCGAAGGCTGCCAACCGGAGCCACATTTCCCACCTGGCGCAGGGCACTGAATAGGGAGGTTTCATCTGCTTCCTCCAAAACGACAGCTTGCGACAGGGAGCCACGATAATCCGTGACTGATTCACCTGCGCGCTGATTAATCCCAGCATCTCCTTTCTTCAGACAGCCGAAATTCCGGCGAGGCGCGACGTTCCCCCCCACCGAATACATCAGATGCGAGCTACGTTTTATTACAGGGGAAGGCTGCTTTTTTTAAAACAAAGGGGCCACCTGTCGCCTCCTGCTTGCGTTCACGGCTCTCGCCTTGCTTTCTCCATTTTTGCAAGCCGCGGCAGACTGTTAGCCCCGGCCTGCCGTCCTGTATTCCTTCGCTACATTTGACTGCAGCGCGGAAGGAATTATGGTGCGGCGGCTTAGTCACAAAGCTGTGGCCGTCGTTATTATATGCCAGTTATTACTATTATACGCCAGCGAAGGACTTGCTGAGCCCGGCTGGTGGGAATTTAAATCCTGTTCACTACTGCAGTTGAAGCAAGGCGGGGTCCAGCGTGCAACCTTCAGTGCCCAAAGGGTGTTTGTTCGCAAGTGGACTTAGCTGGAAAGAAAGGGATTAGGGCTTACAGGGGGTAAAGCGGGGTCTTCCTCAGTCTGTCTCCTTTTAGCCTGGTTGCCCTTTCCCTAGTCTTTCCTACCAAATTGTAAATTTCAGAGTAAAGAGATTCCCCTCTCTCTCTGCCTGTCTGCTCTCTCTTCATCTTAAACCCTACTCATCTCTCCCAGGCTGCAGAAAAGAGCTCCTTCCAAACATCCTATTATGTTTATTTACTCCTGCTAACACCACCAGGGCCCTTTCTACTCTGAGCAGCACTCAAGGGGCCTAATAAAATGTAAAAAATGCTTAAAAGGATATGAAAAGTATAAACTAAACTTAACAGGGCAGCTGGTAAAGGCCCAGAACACCGAAGCACCTACAAATCAACGAATGTAAAATATAAAAAATGCAAATTAACAGCAGCAGCAGGGTGGCTGGTAAAGGCCAGGACATCTGCCCTCTTGTGGTCGCCTTCCGCCATGGCAACTGGCAAAGAGACCCAGGGCGAATTGTTTTTATTATTATTGTTGTTATTATTATTATTATTATTATTGCTATTATTATTACTACTCCTACTCCTACCAGCCCTTTCTTTTCTGATCAGCACCCAAGACACCTTAAAAACACAATTTCGAGTTATGACCGCATCTGCAAGAGCGTCGCAATGGACGAAAGACAGAAAAGCCTGCCCTCCTGTGGACATGTGTGGCCATTGCAACCTGCATCAACAGGCCGATGATGGCTAACGCCATCTAAAATTGAGAGAGACAGAAGTGAAAACTAAGAAACAGCTGGGAAACCCCTGGACTAGGGCCCAGGTGCAGCAGCGGCAGCAACAGGAAAGCTAGAGACGCCTTCCCGTGGCCTGTTTTTTAATTATTATTTTTGAGCTTGCTTCCTTCCCACGGACGGCCAAAGACAACTTCCTTCCGGGGGCTGTTGATCTGACTGCTCTGAATTTGATCTGCCCCCTCCTTTCTGTCAAGGGGGCTCAGAGAGCCATAAAGGCAGCAAGGGACTTGGCCTATCCGTTAAAATGAAAATAAACAATCAACGTTTAACAGCGGGCAAGTGAAAGGCCTGTCTTTACAGATTCCCAAACTGGGTGGGGGGATCCGCAGTTCTCAAGGGGTCTAACTGGTGTAACTGGAAGAGCCCCTTTCCTGCCGGGGGAGGGGGGTATTCAACGGAGCCTCCCTCTTTAGCAGCAGGCTACCTTTCCTCTTGCTCTGCCCGACTCCAAATCGGGCCAGGCACCCCCAGCTTGGAAGGGCTGGCGCTGGACCCGAGGCTCCTTCATGCCACGCGGATGAAGATCCTTGCAGTCTGGCTCCGCGGGCGATCGAAAGAGCTTCTCACAGAGAGATGGATTCCAAGCATGATCTTTAGTCCTTTTTTAAAAGGGGGAAAAAAAAGCATTCTCTGTGCTGTGGGGCCAGCCCTTCCAAACTCCACCTCCCCCAGACCCGATTGGACTACAAAGCCCTTTCTTCTAGCCGGTTCAGCCATGCTGCTGGTGGAGAATGGAAGCTGTGGTCTGTGAGCACCTGCCGTGGACGCAGCCAAGGGGGAAAATAAATCTTGGTGGCGGAGACGGAGCCTCCACTTCCAGGGGGAGAATACCTGACGTCAGAGAAAAGAGCACCCAGGGGAGTTGCTGGCTTTCATGTCCGGCTTCGGAGGCCTTCTGGGCCACCCGCCGGTCTGAGACACAGCAGCAGGGCAGAAATAGCTTCGGGAATTCGCTTCTAAGCTCCCCGCGAAGGCCTCGTGCAAAACACATCTCCCCGGGTGCCCCGTCGCCTGCACAGCCAGGACCAGGGTCCGCGCAGAGCCTTCGGGGAACGTCAAGACGGAGCGAAGGGCAGCCTCTCGCCACGCTGGCCCCCTTTAGAACCAGAGGCCCCCCTCGCTGGAGAGCCCCCGGCCTCGGGCTCCAGTCCCGACCCAGAAACCGGCTCCCAGCACCAGCAGTCCCCGCTGCCATTGAGGCCTTCGTCCTGCTCGGGTGCCCCCCCGTCTGCCCTGCCCAGCCCGCTGGGCTCCTCGGAGGCTGTGCTGTTTGGGTACGTCCCCTGCTTCTCCTCGCTGGGGGGGGGAGGCGCCGCCAGGAGCCCCCCTTGTTCTTCCAGGCACTGCCTTGTTTTGAGTCCCACGGCCTTCAGGATCATGTCCATCTGCTTCACGTAGTCCAGGTGGCCGCTGACCTGCAAGGGAAGCCGACGCCGGGCGTCAGACTCGGCTGAAATGCATTTGTTTCCTTCCAAACGTTTGGATGGCTCTGAATGTGGACAGCCCAGCGGTTGCAATTTATCCCTTTAAAAGCTCTCCTGTTTGCCTCCAGAATATAGGGATACACTACCCCTATTCCTGGAGGCTCCAATTCAGTCCCATAATTAACAGCTGTGGGTAGAGCCCTCTTGGCTGTGTGGAGAGAGAAAACTTTTGGAGATGCCAAGACCTGCCCTGAAATGCCAAACGTTTCTGGGCTTCCTCGTTCCCCAGGCCTTCACTTTACCAGGCAATCTGCTGCTAGAGATAATGCTCTTGGCTCCAGCTGTTTTCTTTTAATCTTAGCAAGACTGGAGCTTTAATTAAAAACCTGTCAGAAGCCCTAATGGACATCTGATCTTCGGATGCCGCTGATGATCTCAAAGGGCGACAGGAACGCGGCAGACGGCCTTGAAATCCATCAAGGTTAAGCAGCAGAAAGCAATCCCCTGATTTAGCGGGGGAAGCGTAAAGCCAGCTTATGGTCCTGGGCTCTATCTGGGGAGCAAGAGGCATATCTGGGGTTGGATCCCTGCGGCCAACGAGTCAGAAAAAGCTGCTTCAATGCCCATGTGAGGTGCAACTAGGGGGACACAAGACTCTCGACATTTCTGGTGCAAAGACCCTCCTCTCCAGCGCACGGGGTCAGGAAGCCCCTCTGCGTAGAAGCGGGCACGCAGCCGCTTTGGGGACACGTCGGGGGAAAGCTTCAGGGCCATGGCACCCTCAAACCAAATCTCCCCGTGCCGTGGACTGTCTCCTGGCAAACCTCGCCAGATCTCCGTAGCTGCTTCCCACCAGCATTTCCAGCCGTTCGCCTGAAGCCGCCCAACTTACGACGGAAGACAGATCCACGTTCACCATTCGGCGATCGTCCAGGTTGACGGGCTGAAGCCCCGCGACGCTGAGCTGAATGGACGACGTCCGGTAAACAAATCTCAGCAGCCAGTCTCCCCTGGAGGAGGAGGAGAACAAGAGAGGGTGGGATGCAGCTGGCCAGCGCAAGTCTGGGGGGAATTCGAGAGAGGCGGGGCTGCCGCGGAAAGGCTGCCGGGCAGAAGGGAGAGCAAAGTGCTCCCCACAGGGCAGGTCGAGATCTGACCCACAGAAGGGCAAGAGGGCAGATGAGCTACAGCTCTTCCCCAGTTCGCCCAAGACGGGCACTTTGGGGAAGCCCACAAATCAGATTTAAGCCCCACAGCCTTCCCTCTTACACCTCTCCAGTCTTTGGCACACGGGTTAGCTGTCCCGTGCATCCAGGTGCCATCCCTTTGGATGTAAACAAAGCTGGGGGAAAACCAGATTTAATCTTCACAAGATTAAATCCCGGCAAAGGGGTCTGTTTTCTGAGGATTAGCTCTCTGTGGCTATCTCCTTGGAGAGGGTGGAAGTCAAGGTGGAGGGTCAAGGCTTGAAAAGCAATTTTTAAGGAAACTGGAAACTTCCTCTGAGAGGAAAGAAAAGGAAAAAAAGGGGGGAGATGCCTCTGTTAGGGTGCCACAACAATACCTGCAGAAGCCGTTGACGATCTTGCCTGAAACTACTTTGGTGACCGTTTTCCAGGATTTGGCTTCTCCTTCGACCGGGGCCCCCAGGAGCACCACGTCTTGGATGATTCCTCTGCAGTCTGAAAGAGACCCACCCAAGGGCGGCCCGCTTGCATCACCGGGAGGGGCCTGTTTCGCTTCAGTCCCCTGGTGCTGCAGCGATCCAAGCCCTGCTCCTTCGGAGGAAGGCCTGAAGTCTGCCCCACTAGCCGCGTGAGATCCCCTCATTCTCTTTCTATGGCCCTGCTTGGAAAAACAACCCGGACTGATTCATCGAGCCGAGACGGGATCAGCCGCGTAAGTTGGAGAGTTATTCTTTTTATGGCTTAACTACAGCTACTAAACAGAACAAAAACAAAACAGGTGGAGGAAACGAGAAGGACAAGAAAGTCCAAACACCCAGTAAAATAAACCCGTCAGATGCCATGAGACAGAACACCAATTCTGGATCTGTGGAAAATTAAACAACTGATTTGCGCTGATTTCCACATTTATTTAGGGTGGCTGGTCTCTCTACGTTTTACTGTACTCTGCATTCTGCTTCATTATTATTATTAATCTGCTGTGCTTAGACTCCTCCCTGCTAGACAAAGCAGGGCCAAATTAGGAAAGGCGTGCACGTGAAAATAGAACTCAGAGGTTCAACCCAGAGTTTGCAGGCACAAGCTACGAATTAATTATCCTGGAACCACAATGACTGTTAGGATGGGAGAGACCCCCTCCTTCTCTCACAGGCCGGAGATAGTGGAGAATTGGCTACGAAGGCAACAATCCAGGGTTAGAAACCCAAGCCAGCATAGAGCCAAATGCTGTCTCTCTGAAACCTGCTGGGGAAAACACCCTCCGGCAGGCCTGCCCCGCCAGGCTTCCTTTCTTGGCAGGAGAAACGAAGCCAGCGATTGCAACGGCGTCAGATTTTCATTTGGCAAGGAAGAGGGACAAATCTGTGATTGCGAGGAGCCAGAAGGCTGAACGACACCCCCGGCACATCCGGCGACTCTCCAGCAATCGTGACGACTCAATTCCTCCCCGTTTTTTGCCAAACAATGGGAAGGGGGGGGGGAAGCAGCATTAACACCCAGATCCCAGTCTGTAACTATGACAGGTGGTTGGCCGAGGATGGGAGAAAAGAGACGAACAGCAGACGGGGATGGGGATTCTAAGGAAGAGAGAGAGGCCAGCAGGAAACTCGAGGGTCTCTCGTAACTGCTACGAAAGCGATCAAAACAGATCCGGGCTCAGGAAGCTGTGGCCATCAGAGCTGAGAGGCACCACCTCTGAGCCGGGGGTCAGCCCTAGGCACGATCCCAAAAGCAGGAGGGGGCCCGGCCTACCTTCCTCCTTGGCCATTTCCTGCAGGCAGAAGTAGATAACTCTAGCGCCGAGACTGAACCCAACCAACGTCACTGGCCGTTTGCCCTGGAGGAGAGGAGAAAATGAGAAAAGCCATCTGGAGCATCTCGTGTCCTCTTTTAAAAGAAAAAGAAAAGCCATCAAGTCTCTACTCCTCATTGTGGGGGATGCAGGTCGAGGTCCCCAAGGAGATGTGGGTAGTGAGAATGCCAGACCGCCTCGAAGGGAGTGCCAAGGGCAGCTAAAACAGCAAGAGCTGAACTCAAGGCCAAGAAGGCGCCGTCTCACTTGCTTTCAGGCCATCTGAAATCATGCGGCCGTTTCACACGTTTCCGTAATTTTGCTTTTCTTCTTTCCACTTGTGTTAGCGGTGGGGGGATGATATAGGGGGCGAGGGGCCCGAATCTCAACACCCCCCTACTGAGAATCCTCTGGCTTTCGAAACTTTACTGCCACGAGGAGTGAGAATACTGACTTCTACAGATAGGAGAACCAGCCTCTGCATTACGGCTACCTTTCCTGAAATAATCGTAAAGGATTATTATTGATCGATGGGACAGATGTGCCTTTAAAGAAGCCCTATAAGTTTACACCAGGACAAGTTCGGACTGTGGGCCTACCTGCCGCCGGCTAAGGAGAATCTGCGCCAAGTGTTTTCCGACCTCGGCGGAGCGGTGGAGACACACGCCCCAAGGGTTGTCTATCACGCTAGCAACCGTCAGCAGCGAAGCAGGCCAGGTGAGGGCCGTGACGATCCCTGGGAGGAGGCAGAGCAAGCAGGATGGCCGAACGTCGGACAAGCACGTGGAATGCAAGGGTGGGGACCCTGTGGGACTTCAGCTCCCATCATCCCCACGTGGGACCCAAGGGCAACCGTGCCCTCCCTTGCTATTGCCTCCAAGCGCCCGAAATCACCCACAGCTGAGCTCAACTTGAAGGAAATGGGATGTTTCTCCACCCTCCCCACAATAAGGCTGCTGGGCACTCACTCACCCGCCAACACCGTGTAGAGGGCTTCCTGGGCGACCATGTTAACAAACCCGTTCCACAAGGTGTCCA